GACATTGCCCCTCTCCCAGCCCCCACCTCCACCTGCCCCAGCTCCCGGACCTTAAAAAAACCTAAATAAAACCCTGGCTGCTGCAGTGGCCTTGGGGTTTCTGGAGGCTCATGAAAGAGCCCCCCCCATGCAGCACAGGGCAGTGGGGGGCAGCAGGGCTCACCCCCTCCCCCCTGCCTGGCAGGAGTTGGTGAGTAGGGGTTTTTGTTTGTTTGTTTGTTTGTTTTTTAAAGGTCCGGGAACTGGCACAGGTGGGGCAGACATGGGGGGGGGGCTGGGAGAGTTGGCAGGGGCTGGGGGGCTCATGGTAGAGCCCCCCACATGGCGCAGGGCATTGGAGGGCAGTGGGGATTGGCCCCCACCGGGCAGGAGCCAGTTAGTGAGTGCTTTCTTTTCCCAAAGAGTCGGGAGTTGGGGCTGGGTTGGGCAGCCATTGAGAGTGGGTGGGGGATGGGGCCTGTGTGATTTGGAGATTCGGCTGATTTGGCAGCAGCCGTATCTCTGAATCAGATTCAGCCGAATTGATTCAGGACAGTGATTCAAATCACTGAATCGAGTCACTGTCTCCCAAGTTGGCCGAATCTGAAGCGAATACTAATTGCTTCCCACAGGCCTATCACCTACCCTGGAAATCTTCAAGAGGAGACTGGATGGTCACCTTGCTGAGGTCACCTGACCCCAGTTGTCTTCCCTGCTTGGTGCGGGGGCGCTGGACCCGATGATCTTCCGAGGTCCCTTCCAGCCCCTTACAATCTATGAATCTATGAAACACAGACTAAAATAGATGAATGTAAGTTCTAAAGTTTCATGTATCAAACATGTTGCTGAGATTAATACTCTATATGCAACATTTTCATTCATAGCCAATAGCTCTTATAGAGGTTGAAGAAACTATATTATGGAAAATAAATGTTATTAAAATAAAAGGGCAACAGGACAAGGGCATGAAGGAAAGATAAGGACTTATCATTGTGCTTTTTATTTTCTTTTGCAATTTATTTGACTGGGAATCCTGAGACTGATACATGTTTTTGATCCACACAGGCAGGAGGGAAGAATGATCAAACTAGCTCCCTTGTAAACTTTGAATCAACTTTTTGAAACTTGTGTGACAACTGCAAGACACTTAAATAACCTGATTTGTAGACATGTGAAGGTAACATGCTTGACATGAGGCATCCAGTCTGAAAATGAAAACTACTTATACATAGGTACATACATGTACCTATGTATCTGAAGGAAATGGCCCATACACTGAAAAAACTATGTTCTATCAAATGAAGTCACAGAGAGTAATACTGTTCTAAAATGCACATGCATGTATAGAGGGTCATCTAGATTCACCAGCTCCCTTCTCAGAGCATATACTGACCTACTAATAGAAAGCATGCCCATGATCTATGATGGGCAACATCTGGAGTGATGTTATCAAGTCTAGAGATTGATGTGCAAGGATGTGAACAGGAACTGATGTGCAAGGATGTTCTAGACAGGTGTCAAAGAATGGTTTTGAGAACAGTTGGCATGATTCTGACCACACTTACTTTGACATAAGCCTGGGCTCACTCTACTGAACTCCAAAAATTAATTGAGTGGAAAGCTAGTTTGAGAACTGAATAAATCACATTATCTTTTCCTAATTTGGTCATGTTACTCTGTTCTAAGGGTTTAAAAGCCAAAAAATAGAGAAAAGTGGACAACTGGTTGTAGTGAATTCTCCTGAAGTGTTTGGCAGCTATCTAAAGTTTACAAGAGCATGGATTTGTTCCCGTTCCATCTTTCAGCAGCCAAACAGTAGTTTGTAGACATATCAGGTACATGTTCACAGGACACGATCCTATAGTTTTTCTCCATGTGAGCAGTTGAAAAACTAAGCAGTGGTAGTATAAACTAGTCACATGAGTTAGGGTTTGAAGGAGTAGTACTTTTCTCTCCCAGAGGGATGAACAGAACAGAAATAGACTGAACAGATATGGGTGGAATGGTCCAGTATGCATCAATGCCTTTTCTATTATAGTAATCTAATAATTTGTAATTGTTTGTGCACAGCTACACAGCTTGTAAAAACTACAGTATGTAAATGGTTCTGGGACATCACTCCTCTCATTTTGGCAACACTGACGTAAACTACAGGAAGATATTTAATAATGTAGTGAAGGAGGAAAGCTGATATAACATGCTGATATATATAAATTCCTCTCGACTCACAAGGCTTTTAAACCCTTGTTCATTGCTCTGGCTCACTACTTAAGTGCAGTCAATCCTAGTTTTAACATAAAAGCTAAGTGTTGTGTAATAGTTCAGGGAGATCATATCAAGTGACTGCTAAAGTAAGAAAACAAGCTTATTTTTTATTGACCTGTGTCAGCCCTTTTCTATATTTCATTCATTTTTCTCATCAGCTACAGGCATCCAGTATGTATTTCTGTGCCCCATTTCTCCATTGGAGTATTATCAGGTTGAAGTAACAATGTTATTAGAATAGTATAAAAATGAATGGGAAAGGTTGGTTTCAACATAGGCTACAGAAGTCAAAGTGCTAAGACTGACACCTTACCTTAGCTCCAAAATACTGGTGACATTCCTTGATGGGAAGATGCGCCGAATGTAGTTAAAATCCCCAACAAAGAGGCTTCCATCAATTCCCACTGCAAGTGCCACAGGGGCCAAAAGCTTGTTTCCTTCTGCTAGACCATTGCAACTTGGGCAGGAGATGCTTCTTCTTCGTCCATTCCCCATAATACTAGTAATCACAGCTGGTTGCTGAGTTAAAAACTGATTCTCTCCATTGCCCTTATGCAGTATACCTGGAGTGAATAGAAATGCAAGGAGTTACTACAGTAATTCAGGAAGTGGGGCCTTTGGATGATTCTACATGTTACAACCAATGTGACAGTGAAGTGATCTAAAGCTGTAAGGTAAAGCATCTTTTTTTTGCATGGTCTGACAACATTGTAATGAGGTGAAGGCATTATTTTCAGGGTAGCCAGAACAAAAAACAAGAGCTATAGCGGTAAAGCTGAAAGAGTAATGATAGCTCTTTTAACCAGACAGCAGAATATCATGTCATTATGGATCATTTTCATTCATTCATTTAATTCATTATAGATTGTTTTCATTCTCTCCTGCCACGCTATGCCATGTTGCCAGAGACAGTAAATGGGGATTTATTATTTATGATCTCTGACAATACTAGAATTAGGGGACATAAAACAAAACTCGTAGGTAGAAGAACTAACAAGAGGAAATTCTTTTTCGCACAGTGTCATTATATTGTGGAACTCAGAGCTGCAAGATACAGTGGAGACTGGTAGTTTAACCCAGTTCAAAAGGGGATTGGACCAATTCTTGAAGGGAAGGTCCATCAGTCGGTACTGAATATGGTAGAAGGGGACACAGCCTCTAAATCATATCTGAACCTCTGAATGTTGGAAGCTGCCATGGGAGATGAGCAGAGACAATTCAGAAAACATGCCTGTTCACCTTCCCTCTCAACATCTGCTTTCTGTGTGAGACAGGATACTGAGCTAGATGGATACTGGGCTGAGTTTGATGCAGTACATGACACTTCTTATGTCACTAAATTTAAGGGAGAAACCTGTTACAATATTTGGGAAACAAGGTGGAAAAGAACTGGGAAAACCTGTTCATTATGGGCATGCCCATGAGCCTCAGTCAGAGCCTCTCTCTTTAATTTCCTTTGCTGCTTCTTGTGCCGAATTTTTAGTGCCTTCCTTCTTTTGCCTTTCCCATTGCCTTTTGATCTCTTTTGCACATTTTCAGGAAAAATACTGTAGAAGGAACTGCTCAAACTATTTCTTGAGGGTTTTTGTGCCACACTGCTCTCTTGACCCTTTCTGGTTCCTAGTATTGTAAGGCTCTGGCAGGCTCAAAGTAGGCAATTCTTCAGGCTTGCTTGGGATAGAGCAGTGGTTCTCGATCTTTTTAGACTCAAGGTACCCCTCTAAAACTTTTCAGAATTTAGTAGCACCCTGTTTAAAATACACACACACACACACACACACACAATTTCATATTGATTAGATCATTCATTATATATTAGGGGTGTGTGAAATGCACCATATTTGATTTGGATTTGGCCCAAAGTGGGGAGAGTGATTCAATTTGTTGATTCAGATCACTGTCCCCAATTTGATTTGGCTGAATCCAAATCTGAAGATTCAATGCTTATTCGGAGAATCAGTGATTCGGCCACAGAAACAGCTGTAAATGTTTTTTCTACATACCTTGAGGTACCAGGTGCAGCTTGTAAATGCTGAGATGGTGGGGTGGATGGAGCGTCCCACAGGAGTGTGCTGGGGCCCCCGCATACTCAGCAGGGAATCCAGAAGTGGACAGGAAATACTTCTGGTCCAGTTCTGGGTCCAGTGGGGAGCACACCAACTTGGCGATTCGCCTCAGGGGGACCCCAGGTGCCCTCCCAGACCCAGGAGGCACCAGTTGCTGAGCTATGGGGGGTGAGACCTCGCTCCCCCCAGTGTGCTTCCTGGAGGACCTGGAAGTGCTTCTGGTCCACTTCCGGGTCTGCTGCCAAACATGGTGGGGACCCCTCTATGCTCCTGTGGGATGGTCCATCTGCCCCAGCATCTCAGCATTCAGGAGTTGCCTGCTACCTTGAAGTATGTAGAAAAAAACATTTAAAGCTGTGTCTATGCCCAAATCGTCAAATCTTTCTGAATGTCTTGGAATCGATTCAGAGGGTTCCAGTTCGATTTGGGGAGATTAAAGGGTCTCTTGATTCAAATCGGATTCAGACATTCGGCCACCGAACTGGATTGAATCTCCACTGAATTGAATCAGCAACCAAAGCTTTGCACAGCCCTATTAGATATATATATATATATATATATATGTATATATATTTATATTATATTCACTGCCACCATGGCTACATGGAACTGTGCTGCACACCTCTTGCAGTGCCAGATTGGGAAGTGGCTTTGGCAGGACCATGTACTTTTGCCACAACCCTTCCAGTCGAACCCAGCATGCCATCTCCCAGAAACAGGGGCACACGGGAAAGGTAGAACTGCCTCGTGTGCCTGTTTTCAGGAAGCGTGTTAGAGTTGAACTTAAAAAAAGCTGTAACAGAAATAGGGCACCTGCCTGCATAGTGCACTGCAGGCAAGCATGCCTTTCTGCTGCAGCAACTTCTCAGTCCCGCTCTGATATGCCTCTTGAAATCAGAGGCGCACAGGGCAGCTTCACTCTGAACTTGTGTTGTAGCACCTCTGGCAGGTTCTCATGGCACCCTGGGGTGCCACAAGTGCCCCACTTGAAAAATGGAATTGAGTTATTGTGCCCCTTTCGTTACTGATGCTGCATCAACAGTTTGTATGACTGACTGTAGTATTAGTGGCTTATAGGAGGCATAAATCTATTTACATTGAAAAATATGTCACTGCTGCAAAATTTTCCAAAAGGAAAAAGTATGAAGATACCCAACGGCAGGCATTGAGTTTTGACTTGCTAGGACAAGATGGCAGGGTTTTCTCTAATGGGCCTAAATGGATCTATTTTGTCAGCCTTACATCATTTGAACAATTGGCTGAATCAGTTGGAAGTATTTTTGTAGCAGACTTAAACTATCACCAGTAGGTAAGATGGGACTATTTGGTGTGTCTGCTTGCCACACCTCTGGCTTCTATGATGTTTTATATTAGGGCAATGTTCTGACAGTTTTCCCACTTCTTAGGAATGGTGTCTCCCTGCTCACCCAGTTTGTGTGTTTTAACTCCTCTTGGATATGTCTTTCAGGAGGATTAGAGATGACATGAGCAAACACAGGGAGTTGGGAAATTCATGGAGAAGATGAATGAGACAAGAGAAAGGAGAAAAGCTTCTGAATTTAAGAAAGTGATGCTATTTAATGGACAATAGGTCCTGTGGTAAAATTACATATCATCATTTTGAGAAATAAAATGCATTTTGGACTTTACAGACTTTTTACAAATATAGCAAGAACTGCAGTGGAATGTTTTTTTCCCCAGAATTTAACAATAAATTCCTTAAAGACTCTTACAATTAAATAAATTGGCTTTGATTTTATGTAGTTCAGAAAACTGAAAATTGACTCACCACTCTTGACATTAAGTACATGGTGTTTGTCCAAAGACCAGCCTCCTAAATTTGATGGGTCTAGTTCAAATCCTTGCAGCAGTGCTGTTCTCTTCTCCCACAAAATCAAACTGGGGCAAGTCTCATATTCAAAACCCACAGAAACTAAAAAAACAAAAAACAAAAAAGAAAGATAACCTTACTGCCTTCCCAGTGGGCAAAAATGAGTGGACAATGTTCCAAATAGTTGAACAACTGGTTCTCAAACTTTGGCAATAAAAAGGAATGATTATGTTCCACTTTTTCCTTCCACAATATTAAAGTCAGATTTTTTATTTAATTCAACCTTGAAACTTGATTCCCTTCTACTCTGGAGGGACCTGATGACCTTTTCATTGAATAGCTGGCTTTGGGAAGGGACTTGATGAAGGGGGAGTAAGAAAAATCATTAAAAAAGCTAATAAAAATCCTCCTATTAGATGACAAGGTTCTAATTTTAATTAGTCTCATATTCACAATATTTATTTATATTTATTGCATGTGGCATATACTAACTCAGTTGAAAAAGGATGGTAGAGTACAGCAGCTTGCACTTGTATGTGCACGCACATGTCTGTGAGTGTGTGACTGTGTGTGTGTGTGTGTTATATCTATATTCTAACAGGATCTGTGAAAAACTAGAAGAAAGGTGATAATGTGGATTTTTTAGAAAAAGTGAAAGCATGAAAACAATTGAATCTTTAAAATAAAATGTCCTTTTTTGATTAATTGTAGTTCCTGCATCTTTTTAGCACTGCTATTTCCAGGTGAATCTAAAAACAAGATGTAAGATTTTCACAGGCATTTCTTTTCTCTTCTGCTGGAACCAAGAACTTTGGCTAGGTGAATTAAAAATGTTTATAAAACTACTGGACTGAAGCGCACTGGAAGAACCTATTATAATTTCAATTGTGCAACAGTACAAGCAACCTCTAAGAGCAATGTGCACTAGACTGCAGGTGGGCAACAAAATACCAGACATTCCAAATATTAAATTCCTTTTTTAACGACCAGTAAATACAGGAATCCTATTATTTTTTCTAACAAATGTGTGCATGACATGTCATTCAAAAATAAAATGGTGTAAAAAGGCACGGTTTGCTTTAACTATTTTTGAACAATAAGTAGATTTTTTGCAGCATTCTTAAATCAGTCACTGTAAACCAGGGAGCTGGACCTAGAGACCCACATGCTGGGCAGGAGCCACGTGGCTGTACCTTCCTCCCCAGTTTGATTGGGCATGTGATGCCCAGCGCGTACCCCCACAATTGCCACCATCACTTCCCCGCACTACCTGCTTCCTGAAGCAGCACAGCAGGGGCAAGAGGAAAAGGAGGAGGAGATGCTGGAGGCAGACAGAACTGAGCAGTACTTGGGAGGCTGCAGCCACACTGGGAGCAGCCCTGCTGGGAAGCTGTGCGTGCTGGCTGGGGCCATTGGAGGGCGCAGGCGGGAGTGTGGCACAGGTTGCAATGGGTGGGTGTGGGAGGGGCTTGGCCCCATGCAGAATGCACAGGGGCAGCCGTGGACTGGATGGGGGTGGGCAGGGAGCAGACCACACCTGCACCGCCCAGGCTCTGCTGCATGTGCCCCCTGCTCCCCTCCCCTCCTGCTGACTCCAACCCTGGCTGGCCCCTTCGACCTAGCAAGCAGGCTGACCCCCACATATATGTGCATACCCACCCACTCACAACTCCCCCTGCCCCCCCACCTAGCCCCCCTTACAATATACAAGAGTAAGACCTTATTTTGAGCGATTATATATTCACCTCTATATAAATTACTAAAAAAACATAAATCAAGACAATAATTACTCTTTGAAATATAATCATGTTATAGTAGATGCTTGATTTTTTTAAATTCTATTTGTTTACCATCTACAATCTTATACCATCTATAAGATTTTATGTGTGGGCCCCTGACAGCTCACCAAAACTCATTAAGTGGCTCGCCAGCTGAAAAAATTGCCCACCCCATTGTACATGCTACAGTTGTCATCCAAATATTTTACTATTTGAATGTGATGACATACCTACAGCATCCGACAGACCGTAAACCTTTTGACCATATGCATCTGTTTTATCCCAGATAAATGTATATGCCAAGTTGGGGGATGCTTGAAATGACTTTTGAAACAGATGCCCTTCCACAGCTACCATCAAATGAACTTTAATTAAGTTCAGAGGCACCAGAGACTGGGTCATGGTGATTTTAAGCAAAGATTTGTATCCAGCAGTACGAGAACTCAGATAGCAGAGCTTTACACTAGAGCCAGGGATCTCAATTTCTTCATGAAGAACCTGGATAGAAACACAGAGCAGACATATTATACTTATACTATGCTTCATTTGGAAGATATCTGTTTGCACTCTACTTACGAATTAATGACTTTCTACTGCTGGGAATTTGCAGCTTTGCCTTACAGCAGTGATTCAGTTTAGGTTCTGATTTCTAGATTAATAATTATTTGGTCACTGTTGTTTCCTTTTTAAAAGCACACCATTGGCAAAAGTGTAAATAAGAACAGCAGGCTTTATTGCTACTTATATGCAAGGGGGCCACAAGAGGCTGCAATTATATGAACCTGCAACTTCCTCTGACAATCGGTATAAAGCAATAGGGATGCCATAAATGAATAAAGCAGCAATAATAATAATAGCAGTGTAGATCATTAAATAACTCGTTATCATTTATCCCCATGACTAACATAAGAAGCAGCAGCAGCTTCTGGTTAGTTGCCCACACAAAGATTTTACAAAATTCTCTTGAAACAGTTTAAGCTATAGCTAGAAATATAAAAAGGCTTAATATTACATATGATAACGGAAGAGTGGAAGATAGTCAAGAGAGATGTCCAGGTGAAATAAGCTTAGCACATTTTCTTCAGACTTTATTAGTGATATCTGTCCTTTAGCTCACCTCATAGAATGGATGTACAAAGCTCCCATTTGAAATCTCATCTATACCAAGTCTAGCCAGTGCAAGGTGAAACCCTGATAACTGGTATGTCTTGGGTAGGTGGCCACTGCAGGGAGTACTTGTTTTCAATATACTTTTCACTAATGCTGTTCATACCTGGGTTTCTGGTACTATGGGATTTCGACCAGGAGCATCACTGAAGAATGTAGAAAGTGGTGATGAAATGATGACTGGGTCAGGGCGGACAAAGCCACTTAGGTCACAGCTGGGAATGGAGTTCTCCTCAGTCTTCATCACCAGAGTATCCATAGCATAGAAGCTATTCCATGGCAACCACACTGTCCTTTCTTGACTCATAAATGGGGCCCGCTCAAAGTGCAGACTTAGGGATGCCCCACCATTTGCGACCAAGTCAAACCTAGGAAAATGTGGGTTTAGCATAAGAGGTGACCATTACCATGGTAATAGCATGCCCAGCAAATGGAAATCAATGTTAAATTCAAAACACGCATATTGCTGGGTTTTTGGTTGTAGCCATGTTGGTCTAAGGACATAGCCAGGCAAGGTTCGTTGAGTATTATGTGATATCTTGTATTAGACTGAGTTGGCCCTATACTCAGTTTGTCTAATAAAAGATATCCCATTTACTCAAACATGCATATTGTGGCTGTAACTACTGGCATTTAGATGTGGACCCTTTTAAAGTCCTAAGCAGCTGGTTGGAATCCAATGAAGATCAGAAGGGACTTGAAGCCGCTCTTACAAGTCCAGTTCCTATGTGAACAAGAGTCCATATCTCAAAATTACCAAGATTGTCAGCATATTTGCTGTTACAAATAGTTTCCACTGAGAGAGCTACCCCTTATATAGCCTGACCAATGCATTATCTTTTCACTCGTAATTGTGTCCATCTAGGTATTGTGTCACGTGGAACTAATAGAGTAGCAAGGAGAAACTTGTGCAGCCTCTCTTCTGTGAACAAACAGAATTGCTGTCCCAAGGAACAATGATCTGGCACCTTTCAAGGCACTAAACAATTACTTCAAAAGCTGCTGGATTTATGTGATTTGCACATGTAGCTGTGTATCCCCCTCAACTTTTGGAGATCTGTTGAAAAGAAATAAAATACTTACTGATCCCTTTCCCACCAGGGATAAAAATGGTTAGTTTTCATGCACAAATTGGCTGATGGCAATGCAATACTGGGATAATATAAAACAATATCTTATCAGGGTTTAACTTGCTACTGCAGTACTTCACTCTTACATCAGTGTAACGTCATTAAAATCAACAACATTATACTAATGTGATAATGTAGCAGCATGGTGGAATGTAAGTAAATTTATACCCTCCCTATAGTTCAACTGATTCTTGTCAATTATTTCAGTTCAATTTTTTGGAAGATAAATACACATAACACTGCAAATATTTACAGTGCATTTGCTATGGCTGTTTTATTTTAGTTGCCATATCCAATAAATTATACAAACCATGACACTCATTTTTGTTTGGGCTGAACTTGTATGCATTTCCAATCAGATGACACAAGGGGAGAAAAGCACTTTTTCACACAGCAGGGAATTGTCTAAGTATATTCAATTAGAATCTTTTGATTATATTCTACCCCGAAGAAACTCTAAAGATACGGGATCTTCAGAAAAGAAAGACAGAGGCAGAAGGGAACTTTTAACAAAATATACTGCTCTATAATGGTACTTTTTCAGCAGTGTTGGCCTGTCTTGCATTTTAAAATGAAATATTTCTGGTCTCAGCTGGATATTGCTGTAGTCCACAAATGTTTTCATAGATACAGAGCAATTTACTTGAAAGGAAGTCTGACTGCTAACACATTATTATCAAAAGTCAGCCTTTTCATATTTATTTTCAGTTAGCATTCAAAATGCCATGTGAAAAATTACTTTTGTGTTTACTTGATAGCTCTTTGGCCCAGTAGGAATTCCATGCATGATACCACATGGTTCCACTAGATAGCACCATCTGTTAATCTGCACTGATATTACATACTAAGCAGGCACAGAATGAAATAAATACACTTACGTGCCATCCTGGCGAGTGATGGTGTAGCCGTACATTGGATACTTGACAAATGACACATTGACTCCGACGAGTGGAGTTCCATCTGTAGTCACTACTTGGCCTCTTATAAGAGACACAAGGCTGAAAAAGAAACACAATTAGTATTAGTTACAAAAACAAGGCCTATGGTGTATAAAAACAGAGAAGGAGCATTCTTGTGATCTCATTTAGTTCAATGTAACATAGATCAAAATACTGCCCAGGTCTGTTGGTACTCAAATCAAAGAAATTCATGCTTACTCTATATAGACAGATCAATATTTGGTAACTGGAAGTTAGTATGTCATCTGTTCTAGTTAAATGTACTTGCTGAACCAGGTCTTGCTACATTTCCCTGTAGAGAATAAAATGCCATATGACTTCACAGAAACAGGGTTGTTGTGAAAGTCGTTCCTAACAACGCAACATGACTTGGGATAACATTTTTTTAAAGTGCCTAAGATGGTTAGGAGTCTAAGTTCCATTTTCAAAAGTGACTTTGGCATTCAGGATCATATTTTCAAAAGTATTTAAGATTCTAAAGATGCAGATGTGCACTTAGTACTGTTTTTAAAAGTGTCTAAGGCTTAGACTAAGCAATTTAGGTGTTGAAGTCTCATTAAAATGGAAATTAGGTACTTCATCTACTCAGGTGCTTAGAAAATTGCACGAGGTGTAGATTTACTCTTTAGGTTTTTAAGTACTTTTGAAAATGTGACTCTAACAGCTCAGTCACTTCTGAAAATGGCACCTGCTGTTTTAGGTGCATAGTGACATATGGCTCTGTGTATCTGATGTACGCTGGTCTAAGTCCATTGACTTCAGTGTAACTGCTAATTGGTATAAGCATAAGTGTAACCAGATCTCCTTGCTTTTTGACAGCTATCTTTTTCTTAACAGAGTTCTCTCATCTTTTGAAGGTTGTATAACCATCAGATCAACAATATCATGTCTTCAGATATTCTACTTCTCCTGTAAGTGTCAAAGGTAAAGCTGGGAATTTTCCGACAAAATAAAACAACAGAAAAACAAAACCTGTCACAAGAATGTTTCCATGTTGACAAAACTTTCCAGAGGAAAGACTTCGCAGGATTGAATTTCAGGTCAAAACCAGAGAGATACTTATCCCAGAATAGTCATTAGCTTATGACACTAACCTGGGATGTAGGAGAATTAGGGACTTGAATCTTTCTGTCTTCCATATCCCAGATACCACCTAAGCATAAGACAACTGGCTATTCTGAGATGGGTCTCTCTCTCTCCTTCTTCCAGAAAACGTTCACAAGTTCTCAGTTTCATCCAAATGCACAGTGGGAAACTTCGGTGGGTTAGGAAAACTGCCTTGCTCTTAGAAGCTCCTAACTTGTTGCTACTTTGAATATTTCTTGTTCTAATATCAACTTTTGTCCTCTAATACTCTGTTAATCTCTCAATGTCAGTCAAAACAGAGATGGAAAGGCACCATATAGAATATCGGTGGTTTGGACAATTAATTTTTCAAATTAAGTTGCATAAGTCTCATCCACATTTTTGAATGTCTGACATATGTAAACCTTGCCTTGTATATCCCTATGTCCTACACCTAGTTTTCATGTTGTCAATAGGAAAAAATAGGAATTTGTCTAAATAATGAATATGGAAAATACAATTGAGTTTCAAGTTAAAAATCCCCATTTCACCATGAAATGTTTGCACTATTTTCTTCTACTTTCTATTTGCATCTATGCGGAAGAGCTAGAACATGAAAGGCTTCATTTTTGAGCTGGCAGACAAGGTAAATCTGATATATTTTATTAGACCAACTCAAATAGTTGGAAAAAAATCTTCTTTGCAAGCTTTTGGGTATAAATACCCTTCTTCAGGGTGAGGAAGCATCTGCAGTTGGTTTGTGCTCTTCCTGGGTGGAATGAATAGTAAAAAAGCCAGAGGCTGGTACGCATGCAAGAAAGCCAGTCAATGAAGATGAACACTGAGGAGTCAGCAGGTGAGAGAAAGGTTGGGCGAGGGGAGGGGAATGAATGTAGCTGGTAAATAGTAGAGAGTTACCTGGGAAGTCAGATGTTAGGCAGGTTATAATGTGTCAAAAATCCAATGTCTATATTTAGTTCATGGTTTTTTGTATCCAGTAGGTTGACAAAGTGAAGTTCATAGGCTTATCTGTGAAAGGTGTTTTGAAAATTCCCTTTGAGGATTAGAACTGAGGGATTGGAGAGAGAGTGATTTTTTTTTTGTGAGAAATGTGCCCCCACAGGTACTTGGGTATTCTTGTCTTTGATGCATTTTTGGTGTGCATTCATTCTGGTATGCAGTTCTTTGATCTCTCCTATGTATTTTCCATCAGGGTATTTGGTGCATTGGATGAGATATACAGGAGACCCTCGCCATTCACAGGGAATATGTTTTCATATCCCCCACAAATGGCGAAATCTGCAAATAAGGCCTGGTGGCTGGGGGGGCACAGCTGTGCTGCTGATGGTGGGAGCCAAGTGCTGGTGGCAGGAGCACGGTGGTGGCAAGTGCAGACCTCCTGAGGAGGTGTATTTAAGATGCGGGTTCGATATTCACAAATATTTGAAACCATGAATGCTGAACCCGTGAATAGTGAGGGTTTCCTGTATTATGTTTCTGGAGGTGCATAACAGCCTCTGGCTTCTTTACTATTCATTCCATCCAGAAAGAGCACAGACCAACTGCAGATGCTTTCTCAACCTGACACAGGGTATTTATACCCAAAAGCTTGCAAATAAGAATTTTTCCAATTAGCTGAGTTGGTCTAATAAAAGATAACAGATTTAGCCAAAGAACCTTGTCTGCCTATGTCCTTAGACCAACACAGCTACAACCTATACCCCTGCAACATGGAAGATACTATTTTTTAACTGACCCTGTGCTGGCCGGACTTTTCCTTAATAGATTTTGGGTAATTTGGCACGTGTAAAATTTGGCACGTGTAAAATCTTGACACCTACAGCACCTGGACTGACTCCTAGCTTTAAGACGAGGGAATTAACTCGTGCTTTTTGCCAAAATCTGTCAAAATTCACATGAATTTTGGGGTAGATATAATGCTAGATATAATGGGTATCCCCCCAAAGGTCAACTGGTGAAGAGTTTCAGATCCCAGGACACATCTGTCTTTATTAGCAATACCAGGGATTATTTTTAGACCTTTTTATGAACTCTGAAATGTTTAAAATGCTCTAATGTGAATTTCTAATTGCACTCCATTGGCTACTTCATTTTTCTGTTATTCCAGCTGCATTCTCTTGATAGCAAAGAAGAAAGACCTAACTAATTCATGAAAATAATCCCTTCTAGTGCTTTTTGTAGATATTAAATCAAGATTTATTGACCTTCTGGGTCAAATATTAATTTTTGAAATTAGCATATTGTATCATGATATTGACCTCCATAAAAATCCATGCTTGTTGTAGAAAATATAACTCAGAATGCTTTAGAACAAGCCAAAGATATTTATATTACTAGTTTTTTTCTCAACTTATCCTCTTTTAATAATCACTTATACATGTAGAAGATTGCAAAGAAGGCTACCATGTGATTTTTTAAATCTATATTTTCTCAAAATCTTTAACAGTATTAGTCACACACCTTTATTCTACAGTGTCCTTTATATTTTTAAATATCATAGTTAAAGTGTTATCAAAATTGATAATATAAATTCATTGCTATCTGTGATTACTTCCATGCAATAATAAATTTGCAGGTAGCAGAAACTAACATATAAGTTAATGTGGTTCTTCATTCATGCCATTTGTGTTCCTCTTTTAAATCTGTTTTCAGGGCTATTTCCTCATAGAAGCTTGAAAACAATTATTTTCCTCATCCAATTTTGTTCCTTCTTCCACCTGATAGAAATCAAATGTGAATGGAGGTGAAATTAACATGGCTCTTTTTGTTCAACAGCTTCATTTAACCACATCTCTGTTCGTGCACCAGAGGGATCAGTGAGATCAACATGATTTTGGCAATCACATTTGTGTTATTAGTTCCTTTGCAAGAATTGTGGGGGGGGGGGGGGGGGAAAAAAATTTT